TTTCTCCGCCATTCCGACCTAAACTTGGCACGGTTTACTCTTGCTCCTCTCAAAAAACCAAGTTTTTTTTGCTGTCAGAGGAAATTAAGGGCTGTTTTTTCTGGTCTTTCTGCTTGTGTTCTCCTTAGAGGGGAGTGAATTTAATTTCCAGAGTCCTGAGCTGAGCTCTCACCCTGAGCTCTCAGCAGCCTGCAGAGATACCATGCCCTGCTGGTGCCCAGCTCAGCCAACGACCTCTCCAAGCTCTGGGAGGTCACYTTCACCGATTTCCAGGTGATTTGCATCCCTTTTGCATCCTTTCAGGAGAGGTTGTGCCTTTCTTTGCGATTCTGACCTAAACTTGGCGCAGTTTACTCTTGCTCCTCTCATGGAACACAAAACCAAGTTTTTTCCAGTCAGAGGAAATTAAGGGCTGTTTTTTTCTGGTCTTTCTGCTTGTGTTCTCCCTAGWGGGGAGTGAATTTAATTTCCAGAGTCCTGAGCTGAGCTCTCAGCAGCCTCCAGAGATACCACGCCCTGCTGGTGCCCAGCTCGGCCAACGACCTCTCCAAGCTCTGGGAGGTCACCTTCACCGATTTCCAGGTGATTTGCATCCCTTTTGCATCCCTTCAGGAGAGGTTGTGAGTTTCTCCGCCATTCCGACCTAAAGTTGGCACGGTTTACTCTTGCTCCTCTCAAAAAACCAAGTTTTTTCCTGTCAGAAGAAATTAAGGGGTGTTTTTTCTGGTCTTTCTGCTTGTGTTCTCCCTAGAGGGGAGTGAATTTAATTTCCAGAGTCCTGAGCTGAGCTCTCACCCTCGGCATCACTGACAGCACAGCACATTCAGGCGTGGCATTCATCCCACTGCACTTGTGATGCCTGGGAATTTTAACCTTGTGCCCTGGCTGTAGTCACCCCAGCCTGCCTCTAAAGCCTGTGGATAATTCCCCCTGACCCATCTTAAGTCCTTATTTTAGGGTGAGATTAATAACCTTCCCAAAGTGCCAATTCTCCTGCGTTTGGCAGCCAGGGAGCCTGAGATGTCAGAGCTGGAATGTTTTCCTTTGAGATTCTGGAGCCAGAGGGGCTGAAAAAGGGATTGGGAAACGCTGACCCCCTTTTCACACCGTGTGACAAATGAGGCAGTGGAGCAGACTGTCCATTCCCTGAGTGCCAGAGTGGTAAAATTCTCATCAGGACTGAAGGACGAGTAAAATTTACTGATGTTTTCCACTGCTGGCTGCAGCTTCCTGTGGTTTAGAGGATTTGCTGCCAGATTTTTTTTACCAGATCTCACCACCCGTGTGGAACTGGTGAGAAAAATCTCGTGCTGGGGAAGCCTTTGAGAATATTTCCTGTTTTGTCATGTTGAGGTTTATGCAGTTTGAGGCAGAGGCTGTGGAGATGATGCTGGAGATGCAGAGGAAACATGAAAAGTTTCACCAGGTTTGTGATTGAATATCAGGAGTGAACATAAAAGATTCTGTTTGAGACACAGCCTCAAATCCTTTGGGCAGCAGAGTGCAGGGGATTAGAATGGCTGGCAGTTTCTGGAAGACTGACCTGGATAAACTCTGAGCATTAACTCGGAGTTAAAGACTATCACTGGCAGATGCAAATCGGCAACGCGCAGGTGCCAAATCACAAATTCCTACACGAGGTATTAAATCCCAAATTCTTACACGAGATATTAAATCACAAATTCCTACACGAGGTATTTATTAAATCCCAAATTCCTACTCGAGGTATTAAATCCCAAATTCCTACATGAGGTATTAAATCCCAAATTCCTACATGAGGTATTTATTAAATCCCAAATTCCTACACAAGGTATTAAATCTCAAATTCCTACACGAGTATTAAAACACAAATTCCTACAAGAGATATTAAATCATGAATTCCTACACAAGGTATTAAATCCCAAATTCCTACACAAGGTATTAAATCCCAAATACCTACACGAGATATTTATTAAATCCCAAATTCCTACAAGAGGTATTAAATCATAAATTCCTACACGAGGGATTCAATCCCAAATTCCTACATGAGGTATCAACTCACAAATTCCTACACAAGGTATTTATTAAATTCCAAATTCCTACACAAGGTATTTATTAAGTCACAAATTCCTACTTGCGGTATTAAATCCCAAATTCCTACACGAGGTATTAAATCCCAAATTCCTACACGAGGTATTAAATCACGAATTCCTGCATGAGATATCAAATCACAAATTCTTACTCGAGGTATTAAATCCCAAATTCCTACAGGAGGTATTTATTAAATTACAAATTCCTACACGAGGTATCAAATCCCAAATTCCTGCACGAGGTACCAAATCACAGATTCCTATTCGAGGTATTAAATCCCAAATTCCTACATGAGGTATTTATTAAATCCCAAATTCCTACACGAGGTATTAAATCCCAAATTCCTACATGAGGTATTAAATCCCAAATTCCTACACGAGGTATTTATTAAATCACAAATTCCTACTTGATATATCAAATCTCAAATTCCTACATGAGGTATTAAAACAAATTCCTACACAACGTATTAAATTCCAAATTCCTACAGGAGGTATGGAATCCCAAATTCCTTATTGAATGACAAATTCCCACAGGAGGTATTAAATCCCAAGTTCCTTATTAAATCCCAAATTCCTACACAAGGTATTAAATCATGAATTCCTACACGAGGTATTTATTAAATCCCGAATTCCTACTCGAGGTATTAAATCACAAATTCCTTATTAAATTCCAAATTCCTACACGAGGTATCAAATCCCAAATTCCTACAAAAAGAGCACATTAACCAATCTCCAGTGGTTTGTTTAACCCAGATTTCCATTTTCTCCCTGCAGATCCAAGGTTTTAATGTCCAGCAGGGACATTTCGCCCTGGCCAAGGACTGCGCGTCCCTGCTGTCCCCGGCCGTGCTGATGGGGTTGGCAATGTCCCTGGTCCTGCTCTTAGTCCTGGCTTATGCCCTGCACATGCTGCTGCACCTCAAATCCCTCGACAGGCACTACCAGGGCAAAGCTGCCCCTTCCTACTTCTCACAGATGAAGGACAGCGAGATGGGGGACGAGAAGGAGCCGCTGAGGAGCAGCGGGAGCGAATCCTACGAGCTCAGAAATCAGCATTTTGGGAAAATCTACATTTAGCAGCTGTCGCCATCCGCTTAACCCAAGCGGGAGTCGCGAGGGGTTCGTTATCAGAATCTCAGAGTGCAAAAGAGAAGAGGAGGCAAGTATATATTCAAAATCATGATCAATTTTATTGGGTTTTTGTAATAGAGGAGGGTAAGAGAGAGAGAAAGAGAGAGAGAGAGAGAAAAAGAGAGAGTGGGGTTATAGCTACCAACGGCTCTGACGAGTCCTTGAGGTCGGGATTCCATGGATTCACCAACATCCATTGGAGGGATCCCATCAGGGTCTTTTCAGAGAGACTCTTTATAGTCTTTTTGAGAGGGGGTAGCAGTGGCCAGGGTGTTGCAAAGTATGGAAAAACCAACCAAGCGGTGGGGAAAGAATGTCCATTGTTTTCAACATGGGGTCGCACCGTTCTCTTTCCATCTTCACATCAGGAACGGTGCAACCATCCATAACTTACACGTTGTACTTTCCAGCCTGGGAGCTGGAAACTTGGCAGACATCCCACCTTGATCTGGCTCGGACTCCTTTGAGCGAAAATCCCCCTTTTCTCCCCCTTTGGGGTTTTTGGGGTGTTCAGTCTCTGTCCATCTCGATGATCGTGAGACAATGTCCTAGGGTAGCTGAGTATTGTATTCCTGTCATCTGCTTATGTTAGAGGAAAGTTCAACAACCCTTCTGTAACTCCACATGAGTCGAGACTGCTCTGGTTTGTTTGGTGATGTTCCTCCCTTCAAGGACAATGGGAGGGAAAGGGACAAGACACACACGTTTTTTTTATTTTCTCCCCGGAGGCTCTCGGGATCAGGGGCAGAAAAAGAAGCTGCCTGCTCTCTGGGACTGCTCCTTTTTTTTTTCTCCCTTTCTTTGGACTTGTTTTTTCCTCGAAATTTTTTCCTTTGTCATCTGAGAATTGGAGGATTCTCATAGCACGACAGGGAGAAAGATCCTTCAGTGAACCACCAGAGAGAGACTCTGGGACTGCTCCTTTTTTTTTTTTCTCCCTTTCTTTGGACCTGTTTTTTTTCTTCGAAATTTTTTCCTTCGTCAGCTGAGAATTGGAGGATTCTCCCCATGGCACGACAGGGAGAAAGATCCTTCAGTGAACCACCGGAGAGATTCTGAACACCCCTCTGGGGGCCCTAGAGGGGAAGCCACTCCCAGGAGGGAAGAGGAAGGCTTTAAGATCTAACAGGTTTTTTTTTTGTTGTTTTTATAATTTTAAAGAAATAGTTTTTTTCCCCTTTTTTTTGTTTTTTTTTTGTTTTT